CCAGCACAGATGTGGAAATGTCACATACCCAACTGGAAGTAAAAGCCACAAAGTTGGTGTTATCAGCACTGCTATATGCAGCTCTGTATAGAAAGGGCAGGCTTAAAATTAACGGTGGTGTCCCTTTCACACAGCCACTTTGGGAAGGGAAGAGAAGGGAGGAACACCTCTGCTTACAAAACTCTCTCCTTCATAAACCCAATCACAGTTGGCAGTCAGCTAGAGTGAAGTTCAGGCTCCTTTCACCAATATGGGAGAAACAGGTAACTCGATTGAAGAAAAAACAGTACAGATGTTATGTCCAGTTTAAGCACCAAAGAGTCCCTGAACTTTCTCTGACCTTTCTCAGTAGGACACTCAAAGACAAGACTAGAGCTATGGGAAGACCGAACATTTTGCACTTGCTCTTCAGCCAAGAAGCCAGTCTAACTCTGGGGGAGTGTGAAGACAGATGAACAGAACTCAATCAAGTTGATGCAAGGGAAGGGCAATTTTATGATGGAAAGATTTAAGGTTATGGTTGCTTCATAGTTGCCTCCAAGGCCTATTTGTCTCTCCCAAAGGTAGGACTTGCAGGTTGAGAGGCGCCCCTCAGTAAAACGTATTTTATGGCACTATTGAATTTAGTGGTATGTAATTAGCTATAAAATCTAGCACTGTGTGGCTCAGCCAGCCATCTCTCCCATCAATTTTGTCAATAATGACAACAACAAAAAGTCAAGAGCAGAAAGATACATTGCTGGCTATTGCTCCAAGTAGCAGTCTGAGCATGTTTTATTATTGCCCGTGAAAGGTCACCACTATTTTAAACCCTGACAAGGCCGTTGTGGCATGGAGTTTTCACTAATCCCTCTTCCACCATTTCCTTTGGCCTTCCCTGGTCCCATGCCTGGCAGGCTGTCCTGGCTTCGAAGACCTTCACCTCCCTTTTGGAGGCTCCTCCCGGGGACCCATTGCCCTTGGGAGGTCTGCCACATCTGCTCTCCTGCACCGCATGGCCCTCTCAGTGTGCTTTTGTGTCAGGGAGCCCCCAAGGGCACAGGGTTTCTGTTTGATAATGCTGAGCATACTGCTGGCACCTCACATGCTCTACATAAATCATTGGGATGAATACTGCCAAAGATGATGTTTCTTGCAAGTCCTCATCACAGCATGGCCCAGTCTCACACGGCTCAGGACTGCTGCTCAGTGGATTATGATCCTGGTTGCCCCACAGACCACAACAAAGCTATGAGGCCAAGGTGATGTCTACATCAAACTCCCTTGGCTCTCTGTGCATCTCACGGGGTGACCTGGGTGCAGAGGCCTCAAGCCTTCTTCTAGCTCATGTGCTCGGGATCCCTCCCTGCAGAATCAAAGAGCAGCAGACAGCAGGAAAAGCAGAGGGGAAAGCTGGAAAGCTGGACTTCTCCCACATATGCGATGGGGACACATGGAGAAGGCATGCACCAAAGATGGAGTGCTCACAAAACCAACTTTAAACTTTGAGGTCATCTTTTCAATTAACACTACCAGGAAAATAACTCCATCAGGGAGACCATTCTTACCAAAATGGTCATTCCCAGAGTTGATGCTTCAGGAAAAGGTAATTCAGTTCCATGGACACAGATATAATGGGCTTGTCTGAATGTTTTCCACATACATCATAGTCTGAGATTCTGATGTCAGAATGATGGATGAAAACTTTCTAATGTGGGTGGGCTACAGGTCTGATAAAGTTTACTGCGGGATTACTGCCAAGATCTATTCATTACAGTCCTCTAACCCACCATTTTTCACTCTTGCCATTCCTAATGCTTCTCAGGAAAGGGTAAGAATTCCATAAAAAGATGTTAAACATATTTTTTCTTCTCTATCTCCCTCTTCTTTCCAGTCTACACTTTCATCACTTTTAATACTGAGTTTTTCAACTTTTTATGGGTATTCTCTTGCCCCACCCAAATCATTTACTCTTCTAACCTGTCTTTTTTTTTCCATTTTGACTCTAGCTATCTATCTGGTGCATATACCCTGCTCCATAGATTCAGTTCAATCTCTGAATCAAGCACAACGGCACAGAGAAGAGCAAGTACAGGAATCAACACTTGGTTACTGCTCCATGCGAGGCTCTGGTAGCTGTGCACTGCTGCAAGCAGAGCGGGAATACAGAAACCATCAGCCAGCAGTGGCAGTGCACACTTACAGCCATGTGCAAGGAGGAGCCGAGGGAAAGCTGAGGTGCTCTGGGAGTCTGTGGGAGAACGGCAACGTTGAACACGTGGCTTTCCAAGCTGGCTTGTGGACTGGCAGAGCTGGACACCTGGGAAGGAAAGATCACATGAATGGATACCTGGCAGGGGACACCACTGCATTTCTTACTTTCTCCTCTCCTCCTGGTCTAGAAAGCCAAAGACACACCTTTCCAGCAGACACCAACCCAAAGCGTATGCAGGTGGTAGTTGCTGGGAACTAAGGCCTTTAAATAGTAAACAGTTTCTCCATTATTGCCTGCACAACCTATAAATGGTTTACCTCTCTGTTAAGGTTTAGAAAGACAGCTGTTTGTCAATTCCCTACCTGTTACTCATTCCCGCTTCCCCCAGTTGCCGCCACAGTTTTGCTGAATTTTACTCCAACAGTCTGTACAGTTTAGTGGAACATTCCATCACAGGGACAGAAAAAATAACGGCTTTTTAAACCTTTCTCCCACCCTCAAAATGACCATCAGTTGTGCTGACAAAGTGAAAATAACTGGTCTTTTAACAATGACACTGTCTTGGCAGTGGCTCCCTGTGATCTCGTATCTTCCAAGACAGGCTGCGCTCATGTTTCACTGAGACCCATAAACATTGACCATATTATACTATATTCCATATTCTATGGTAACACCAAAGTTAAGTCAATGGCACCTTAACTCATAAGAGCAAACCTGCAGTAATGACATATAAAGCAAATAAGATTAAATTTGTAAAAATTGAAAGGACCAAAACCATCCCATAGAGATAAAAATTCAAAGGACCAAAACCATCCCACAGAGATAAACCTGCACATGTTCACAGCAATCCTGAGATAAGGCAAGAACCCAAAGAAATACAGCCCCTTTCTTCGTTACTCAGTTACAGCTTTATCGTTCGGTAGGGATGGAAGTCCACACCTGAATTCAATAGAGCACTTTGTGAGCAAGAACAGGCTTCAGCACAAACTGAATTTCAAGAAAATGCATAAAAATGCATGCTCTGCTGAAAGAAATTATTGTAGGCATTTGCTGAACCTGCTCAGAATTGCTGTCATCTGAATGGTAATTGTCAAAATGCTGATAAAAGCAACATGTCAGCCTTTTCTGAGATGCCCCAGTCCACGGTTCAAGACTCGGACAGACGTGTTACGGTCTCCTGATGTCACCCAGGCAATCGCAGCTTCCTTTCTCAGTAGGGCTCGCCGTACAATTATTGCTACCGCTCCAAGATACTAAAACCAAACATTTAACTCATGCAAAATGCATACTCTATAAGAGGAATGTAGCAATTAAGCTAAAGATTAGCTTGTTCAACACTGACGCTCACAAATTCCTCATTATCACTTATGTTAATTACTTTAGAAATTACCTTAATTGCCTCTCTGGTGCTACGGTAATAGCTTCTGACTTGTAAACCAGATGTAACAAATACTGCATGCAAGTGTTCACGTAGGCTTAGCATTACAGGAGGCTGTTAAACCTTCCAAGCAAACAGCAAGGACCTGTCTGAGGAATTTTATGGCCCTTAAACCTGTGGGGAGGTGGGATTTATTATCGTATTACATCTGCTGGGGAGTATTTGCACCTTTTTGCCTGTTTGCAAGAAGAAATTTATAGCAAAAATGAAATTTTTAGTTTAGGGACTGCAGAAAGTAGGAGGGTCACCAGGTTTTGGGGCTTGCAAAACAACTTAAAAAAAAAAAGGTGCTCGGAACACTTTGCACTTGGAGTAAATATTAGAGGATTTATGAGAGGGCGATGTATTTGTCATGCAGTACCAAGGGGTCGAAATCCCTGTCTGAACTGCAAATGGGGCATCAAAACCACCAGGATATGAGCTGCAGGAACACACCTTGCACAGGGAAGTCCTTTCACAGATGTCTGGATCGCAGGGATGGCATAGGAAGAGTGTGGGCCAGAGGACCTCTGTAAGGATTTCCTCGTGCAGATTTGGCACTCAGCTGGAAGATCCCCAGGACAGCCAAATGCTTGGCTACCTGGACCCACCTCCCCCATTTTCCCTTGTCCCCTGGGACCAGCCTCATCTCAAAGAAGGGTGGGGGAAAGAAGGCAGCAGGTTACAAGAAGAGCATGAATTACCCTCTCTGTTACCTCCTCTAAGTTCTGTCAGGCAAAAGAACCATTTCCTGTTCCTATTTCTTTCCCAAAAGTGATGCCAAGCACATCAGTAGGGTGCTCCCAAGAGACAATCCTACCCCACAGGCAACAGCCCAGTGGAAAAGAGATCACTGTCACAGCAAGAATCAGTCTCTGGACACTCTGTCATGCTGATGGGATGTTATAAGCCTGCTAGTTCCATCCAGTGGAAGCAGTAAGCATGTATCTGTTTTCCCATTCACCCTGGGGACTCTTGATCTCGGAGAGCTTTCCTGCTTAGACCAGCTAGCAGCCACTGGGATGTCACTGCTTTTCTACACAACCCTTCTTCCTGCCTGAGATGGAACTGTTCTACAGAAAATCAGGAGAGCTATCAGTTCAATAGCTTAAACGTTAGATGCTACTTGAAAGAAGATTTTCTCTGGATTTGCAATATGGCCTGTGATTTGACATCCAGAAGGTTAATGCCACTGCATGCGGCTCAGCGCTGTGGGTAGCTGGCTGGCTGGCTGCTTCCACTGCCACAGATTAAAACCTGGGGATCTGCATGCAGCAAAAGCTCTCTTGGGCATGAATAAGAGCCTCCCAGCAATAGCACGGTGGGTTTCATCCGCTCTGACGCATAAGCACGTTCATCTACAGGCAAGCAACACACACCTGCATACACATATGCCTGCATGTAAATACAAATACATATTTACACACATATTTGTGTGTGTGTGCATGTATTCATGTCTGTGTATCTATTAAAACTTTGGGTCACGATACAAGGAACCGCAGACTGAGCAATCTCAGAGAAAAATGCCATCAGAGCTGCTGAGTGATCCCCCCCTGCGAATATGATGAGGAGTACCTGGAATTGGAAGGAGTCACTCTCTACTTCAGAGCCAGAGTGCCTGTACCACACAATGCCTTCGTTGATGTCCTGCTGGGTAAAAGAGGTTGTAGGTGAGGCTGCTCTTCCATCAGGCAAAAGCTGCCACGAGTCTGCTGGGCCGTCTGCCGGCATTGGGACCAGAAGCACGACTTCACCTGGGAAAAGCAAAGATTAATAGCCAGGGCACAACTTGTGAGAAAACAAGGAGGAATAGATGCCTTTTCACCAACTAACGAGCATCCAAGACAAATGTCCACCCAGCCTTAGTTATTTTCTATCTAGTGGGACTAACAGAAATAGCAGCAGAGCTCCTAAAAACCACTAATGGACCATGCAACATCCCACTGACACAGGGAAATTTTATCTGGTGTTTTGGCAAAGGGTAGATCAAGTAACTCGTGCAAATACACAGAAGTTGTTCACAGTCAAGCAAAGAAGAGGATCTGCAACTTTAAATTCGCAAAATGTCATTCTGCCCAATGACCAGCTCATTTCAACCTCGAAATGTGCCCGTTTGATAAAATGAGCAGAAAAACAGAGGCAAAGGAGATTGCTCACTTCCCAGAGCTCCTGTGAAGGGACAAGAGAGAAGCGAGGCACAATCAGGGTTAAAAAGCACTGCAGCAGACTACACGTCTTCCCTCAAGGGTACAACTTAAATATCAGAATACAGAACACAAGTTTTTTCAAGGTCAGCTCTTTTCTAGCTCTTTTGGGTACTTATTATGCCAAAAAAGTATACTCAACTAACTTCTCTGGACAGAAACCTTCAACGGAAAAAGAGCTCTTGAACAGATATAGTAAAGGACCTCTATATCATAGGCTGTATAGAAAGCCTGCACACCCTGGTTTGTAGCTCCTACTCCAAAGTTATGTAGCTTTTCTATCTGTAACACTGGGTTTATTTCTGATTTTTGTAACAGAAATAGATTCTCAGCTGGACTGAAACATCACTGGTTTCATTGCAGATATGACAGAGAAGAGCAGGATGGGGGCATGTCCCACCGGTTATCAGCTTTCCTCACGTGTGCCTGCAAGGATTGGATTTTGATGTCACTACTCATGTTCAACAGACTTTAATCCAAAAACATCCTCTAATAAAATTCGTCAAAGAGCCAAGTGCTACCCTCCAAGAGGATATCAAAACCTTGGTCATCAATTTTATTGATGTGAACATTCTTCCTAATCACACACATAAACAAAATTAAATGCTGACAAGGAGCAAGAGTATCAAAATAAATGGCATCTTTTTCAATTTTACAATGTAATTTACTTGTTTTGTAGTTAATGTATAATCTGTGAAAAAATTATACGTTTCCCCTATCCTTACTATTCCCCTGACTATGTATAATTTAGCTGCTTTTTAAATAACTTGCTGGTTGTATATTGAGCTTTTCTACTAGTCTTTGAAAGTATCCCTCATGGCTACCAATCCTTACTACGTATAGGGGAAGGGGAAGAACGTCCCTGACTACGTATAATTTAGCTGCTTTTTAAATAACTTGCTGGTTGTATATTGAGCTTTTCTACTAGTCTTTGAAAGTATCCCTCATGGCTACCAATTCAGAAGCCACATATATTATAAATCACTTCAACTCTCCTTACAGCATTAATCATTCTGTTATGCATAATACCCATCATAAGTTCATTTCCCAAAACCACCCTTAAAACAGTTGGAGTAATCAAAGAATAATTCAGCAGGCTGAAATATCACACTTCCATTTTATCATCAAACTCTATGTTAATATTCCCTTATCAGTGCCCTAATTACATACATTTTGCTCACGGCAGTTCACCACCTTAATCTTTTGTGTGATTTCTAAAGATGCTAATCACATACCCAAAGGAGTCAGGGCCTGCAAGCTGTTTATCCCTTTCAAAGTAAGAGAAGAAACAGAACATCCACCTGCTTTAAGTGAGATGCATGTCTATGTGTCTCTTATGTAAGTTAATATTTAACATGATCAGAAGGAACAACTCTGAGGTGTTTACTTACATAGTTTATGATTATCATTTCATTTGAAACTTATTTTTTAAAATAGAAAAGCACCTGTTTATAGGTTACACACACGAATGTACAACTTGCGCACACTCAGGCAATTTATTGCAATCGATGGAGCCAACATAGCTGCAGTTTCCAGAGCTGTCGAGAGGGTTCAGGCACTGTGGTCTCACCCGTTTTCAGAAGAGTGGACACTTGTATCACTTTTCATTGGCTGTAGAGATTTCATCCTCTAAGAATGTATGTCACATGGAGCAGCTTAGGGGATAACAATATCTACTCATGTAGAAGTGAATATTTTTTCCATGTAACAGAGCTGTGTTGAGGAATTCTGTGTGCTGGGAGGAGAGCCAGGGAAGACACTGGTTCTATTTCTGGGGACAAAACAGGAGGCCCAGGATAAAGAGATCCTTAGAAAGATCAACTGTCCTCTGCTGCCCAACTGTCCAGAATCAAATCAAGCCCTGCAGAAGGAGGGGATATGGACAGCAATCTTCCTTCTCTAATTATATCCCTTTGGTTTGGTTTCAGTCTCTTGAAATGAAGGGCAAGCAGCCTTCTTTGCCCATGCACTTGTGCCACAGAAATGTAGTAGCTAATTCTAAAGTGGTTGTCTTTCCTACCTAAAAAAATCACATTATATATTTTCAACAGGTACGAATATCTTTTCCAGTACTCAAGTATTAAGATAGGCAGATACGCCCTCCTTGATTATGGACCCATTTTGCACATTTCTCGGTCTTATTTTTTTCCTCCCTTGCTGTGAAATAGTATTTTAGATAAAATTGCGAAGATCATTGATTTCTACTGCTTATTCCTCACCTGCAGCTACAAACCCACTTGTGTTATTGCAATTAATTACAGTAGAGATAATTATGGTGATACAAATACAGGATTATAAATTTTGGTTAGGGTTAGGCAGCAGGAGACAAGCTCCTCAGGGAAAATTCTTGTTTTCATGTAAATGCTTATTAAAAATGAGAAGACAGTTCTTCATCTGCAGAAAACTAAAGGGGGAAAACAAATTAATTACTTCTCTTCTAAATTGCAAAAATAACATAATCTATGTTTCCATCAGGTACTGGCAGCTGTTATGGAAACCAGACTATCCTTACAGCAAAAGGCAAAAAAACAGCACTGATGTTGCTAAAGGGATCCTCTAATTTTATCCGCCTCAGCAAATTAAAAGCAATGACACCACTTCATAGAAGTGCAAAATATATTATTTAAAGATGTGATGATGAGGGGGAAAATAACATTTTTGTTTTCTGTCCATATTTCCTTTCCTCCAACATATGACGCCTTCTCTTTTCCATCCAGTTTCTCTCAGTTTGTATCTCAGCCACAAATCCCAGTACCTTCTACACTCCTCCTCGGTCTGGGTCCAGAAGATATTCTATAAGCTGCAGTCCTGCGCATGGGGTTGCTTGTGAAAGCCGTTACTCTCAGAGATGAGAGCAGAGTCTCAAAAGAAATTTGGAGACAAGAATTATATATGGATGCAAATGTCACCAATTTCTGTTTGGGTCAATGACCCCTTCCACTAGTAGAAATTAAATCAAATCTCATGGAATTTAGGGATTTCTCCAATTCTTCAAGGTAAACTTTGGCTCAGCAGTTTCTAGAGGTAGGAATTACTCTATGCTGCTCTTAAACCAGCCATTTATTGTAGAATATTATCTTTTGGCAGTGAGTAAGACTCTGCTCTTGCAATGCTGTAAATCAGCCAGAATTTCACTACCACTAGAGAAACACAGCTGCAGAAGTTCAGATTACTAGGCAGGACAATACTGCTTCACTACTTTGCACGCCCATTTGAAGTAGAAAAAGATGGGGTTAGCAGCACTTATAAGGAAATACTGCCTCAAATGCTATTTGTTGTGGGCAAAATACCATGGAAGAATCATGTTCCCATAGGTTTTGTGAAGAACATCCTTCTCCCCAGAATTAACCAGAACCCTGCACTTTTATTTAGCAGATGGAGACCTTGGGGAACATGGAGTAAAAAGCAACACCCTTTTTGACAGCAAAATCCAAAAGATATTTACCATGTCTTGGCTGGTCCTTGACGATGGTGTAGGTTATCTCAGAGTCACGGGCACTGGGCAGCTCGGCATGAAGAACTGTCTTGGAGATCTGTAGCATGCCTCCCTGGGGCACCCAGACCAGGGAATTTGTCACCAGCTGAGGGGTCCTGTCATTCTGCACACAGGGGGACAGCAGAAGAAGGCTTAACTGAATGTCAGGAATGCTGCACTGATGGAAACAGATTTTCAAGTGAAAAGGATCAAGCAGAGTATTTTGGAATTTCTTATGCACTCAACCCTGGTTGCCTGCTTCAAGAAATGGTTGTACATGCTTCACCTATACCTCTTGGACCCAATTCTTACCCTGTAGAACTGGCCTTGTCCTCCAATGTTTCTGAGTTCTTGCCGCTGACCCTAAACCTTCGTGACCTCAGTCTCCCTCCATAATTTTGTCTTTTACCACCACCCTGATTAACTTTTGACATGCCTTGACAGGACTTATCTCTATGGCACAGTGGAAAACTTACTGCTATCAACATCTGGAAAAAAGTGTCCAGTCTACTACACTAGTGTGATGGGATCCACAGTTTCTCTCACATCTCTTCATTTTATTTCTAGAACTATACACCTTTCAAGGGTACTTACAGAACAACAGCTTCTTACTCATCCAAACGTATCTCTCTATGGCACCTCCACTGTCTTTACACACACCTATAACTGTTACTAACTCTCCATGAGCAAACCCAGGTTCAAGACCAACCTCATCCTTTTCTTTAAGATGGGGGAAAATTGAACTTCAGGGTACGCAGATGCTAAAGATGAATTTTGGCTGACACATGAACCATGACAGTTTTCAATCCTTTGCTTGAACAGAAGCAGTTTAACAATCAGAAATTAGGTATGCAAATTTTACTTAGTAACTACTGCACCAAATCCACATCATTTTTTTTGCTGTTAGAACATCCTTTTAGACTTTTAGATCAAGCATCTTCTCTCTGTGTGGGGACTTACACCCATGGTCAGGTCATCTCTTAACCACTTTTGTAAACCTAAAGTCTGCTTGAGCATTCCTCAAAGTCTTTTACTACTTGCTGGGTTTTCTAACCTTCAAATTATCCCTGCGTCTTTTTTTCCAAAAGAATATTTATCTTATTCAAGCTTCTTGAAATATAGATGTTGGGATTGGACGGTTTCACTACATTTCTTCATATACTTCAGTAAGACTACTCTAGCGTTCCAGGATTATACTAGCCCTTTTTGCCTCTGAATTACTTCGTTAGCTCACGCTCTGTTGGACAGGCCACCGAAATTCCTGTGACTTCTTCTGCACCTTATAAAGTCTAGCTGCTGTAAATGTGATTTCTCTTCTTGATTTCTGCAGATTCGCCTTGAGATTGGCTGTGAGGTACATATCAGTCAAAATCCTGACTGTTCACCTTCCTCCTCATTTACTACTTTACATAATCATGTGTCACTCCAAGAACTGATAAACGACTCATTACTACGTTCCATGAATCTTCAACAGAGACAGTAGAGAGAGCTCAGCGGATGTTTGTGAAGAAGAATCATGTTAAAGGATGATTTCCCATCTCCATTTTGACATGTTTCCCAGCACAATGGTTGCTTTATTTTTTAAAGAACAGTGAAGAAGAAAACCAGACCCTGTGCCAGCCAAGAAAACCCTGACAGTATATATGATAACTTTCCTCTGACCTTATTGATTTGGTCACATCGTGACACATACAGGCCTAGCAAAAGCATAACTTTGGACCAGGAAACAATCTAAGAAGGTCAGAAAGGTTCCAAGATTTATTGTGTAAGGAGAGAAAAGACAGACTAGCCACACTTCCAAGAATGACAGGCAAAATGCACTGTTTGAAAATAAAATACTTCTAAGTGAATGTTCGTTAAATCTAAGGTTGTGGATTTGCTATAAATATGGAACCCTTTGGCTTTTTGGTAACTCAATGATTGAATGTTCCTGGGCTGGCCACATTAAACCGGCCTGGCGTTTTGTAACACTGTTCCCAGACAGCTTTGATGCTGCGATCCTGCTGTTAATAAACACACATCCACGAAACAGCTGGTTTTGCTCAGTAATCTTTTTAAAAATATATTTAGTGACAAGCTATAGTCCCATCTGAGTGCTCACCCTGTATTCAGCAAAAAAGCTAGAATCACATCAGAGTTTTTAAATTTATTTTACGGATACCTGAGCACACAGTTAGCAAACTGTGGGAATGAATTCACAACACAGGAAAAGTGTTTTCAGGGGATCTGGGGAGGCTAACATGCTCCCTGGTCCATGCTTCAGTTACCTGCTCCCAAGCAGGGCAAGATGCAGATATTCTGGAGACCTCCCTTAACACGATCTCCTCTAGAGATCCAACACATTCCTAAAATTAACATTTTCTGTCTTTTTCCTGCATTCTCCCCAGCTTCTCAGAAAAGAAAGGCCTCCATATCCCCTCAGCAATGGCCAGATCACATGTGGGTAGGTCTGACCTCCTCTGGCTTACATTACACAGCCTGTGATAATATTTTCTAGGGCATGGACTCCTTATTCCCCATTGGAGAACCACTGGTAATGCCCTGCCAAAAATGAAGCACCAGCAGGTCTCAAATTAACTTCACAGAAGCTGTAATTGTTAGAGATTGTCAATAAAAATATACAGCAGTGCAAATCGTTATCAAGAGCTCTCAAAATAGAGGCCAGCTGTTCAGACTGCAGTAGGTCAAACGAAGCATTTGGATGGGGGCAAATAGGGAAAAAGCAGGCGGTTAGCAACCAAGGGGACTAAAAAAAGCACCTTGCAGAAAACAAGGCACACCCGTTGTAAAGAAACAAACCTCTCTGATTTAGAAGGTTATGTTGTTCTTCATTTATGTTTTCGCACTTTCACCGCAGTGCGCCTACGGATTAAAGTCTGAGAATTCCACTGTCCGAGCCCATTGAATAGGAAAGCTAGAAATGCCCTTTCACGCCAGGCCTTCCTACAGAAAACCGCTCAGCAGCACATTATGACAGGTTCTGCGTACTCTGACAGCCACACCTTGCACTCCCACACCGCCAGCCAGGGTCCTACCAGGCTCTTGAAGCAACCTTTGGATGTAAACCAAGGAAAAAAACCCAAGTGTCTTTCCCCATGTGTCTCAACAGTACCTTTTCAGAAACACACCCTGCACGCTTTTCAGCTCCCAAGGCTATTCCGCAAAGATAATTAGGATGAGGCAGGAGCTGGGTATCTGCCAGCTCTACCCTGGTACTAAAAGCTGCTCCGTTCTCACACCTCTGTCACCACCTTTATTCTCCCCTGTAGCCAAGCATTGGACAGAGACTTGGAAAGATAATGAGAGACGAGGGAGCGCAAAAGCGGCTAATAAAAGAAACCGTACTCAGCAGTTCACCTTCGCCGGCGTTTACAAGAACCTGCTTAATCAACAGCAAAAATCCCCCCAGAAAAGTGTTACAAACAACACAGAGCAGTGTCCAAGCATTTTACAGTCTTTCTGATCTTACACAGGCTCCTTAGAGGCACGGAAATGATCTGGGTACAGAAACCACAGGCAGGGCTGCTCTTATTCCTGGAGTCTAATAACTTAGCACCAGCCCTTTTTCATCGCCAGACTGGTGTATGAGTCATGTCACTAATTATCATTAATTACTACCGCAGCTTTAGGAGCACCCACGGGGTCCAAACGGGATCAGTCCCTTCTTGTGCTAACTACACAGATGCACACGGCGCTTGTAAACCTTATTTCAGATTTGCATGCCCAAGTTGCTGTGAAAGACATCTCACAGAGCGGAGGAGAAAGGAGGGGTAATACCATCTCCTCCTGACTCCTTTTCACTGTGCGAAAGCACTCCAAGATTGTGTAGTTCTCAGATCCATACATAAAGAGATCGCAAACAGTGGTCTTTGACAGCTCTATTTTTCATTGCTCTGTCACATTAACTAAGGGATGAGGAGATCTTCAGCTTTTTTCCCTTCTGTTTTATTACAATACCACAATATCAGAACTGAAATGCTTGCAAGCACTTCAGCAACCTTGTATTTTTTCAAGGCTTCACCCCACGTACTGTATGTATTTAATGCCTTGTTTGGCTCAGGTTTGTTTCATAAAAAAATGGAAAAGCACCACTGTTTCCAATTTACTGCTGCAATCCCAGTAAGATTTGATACAAAGTGCCACTTCATGTCCAAACATAGAGGAGACAAACAACCGTTTAATTATGAACAGCAATAGAACCGAGAAACAAAAATTAAAACACTTCTTAGTAATTTATAACTTTAGGTATCTGTGCCCTGTCCTTAGATGTGGTGAGCTGGCCCTGGCTGGAGGCCCGGTGCCCACCAAAGCTGCTCTGTCACTGCCCTCCTCAGCTGGGCAGGGGAGAGGGAACATGATGAAAGGCTCATGGGTCAAGATAAGGGCAGGGAGAGAGATCATTCAGCAATTAACGTCACAAGCAAAACAGACTCCCCCTTCTTAAACCTGTTATACCAGAGACGCTGATGGCCTGAGCACTGGTGGGTCCATCTTGGAGCCGTCTGAATTTGGTTCTGTCAGACATAGGGAGGCTTCCAGCACCTTCTCACAGAAGCCACCCCTTGTAGGAGCCCCCTTCCCCCCCCCAAAAACCTTGCCACGCAAACCCAATGCAAGGGCAGTTATCAAATAGAAAGATGCATCCAGTGAGTTTGGTGGAGCAAGGCTCAGTGAACAGCAGAGATCTTGAGCTCGGGAGACACCATCACCAAAGTACCAGTGATGTACCTTATCAGTCAAGTTGTTTAGTTCATGTGTGGTTCTTTTGTGTCTCCCACCACACTCCCGTTAGCCCAGTGACTGGTGTGCCTATCTCATCAGCCCTCTCTCTCCTCCATACGCTCGTTCTCTAATTCACTGCCCTTACCAGTGCAAAAATAACACTTGCAACTCCAGAAAATCAAATAACTATGGACTTTGATTTGTCAAAGCCGCACAATTTGAGCTGAACCATTACCGCTGCAAACCAAAAATTCGGGTGACTTCCAAAACTCAATCAATCCACGACTTTGTCCTGTCTCTGACCACAGCCTGTCAGTAGCACAGGATTTGTGACACCTCAGGGACAGCGTAATACTTCTCCAGACTTCTAATTTGCCTGTAAGGGTTTATGCCACAGTACATACCTTGGGAACAATCTTAATGTGGAACAGAAGGTTCTGGAAGTGGTACCCATCGTTCACTTGCAGAAGAACTGCATCATCCCGGGTGTCAGAGCCATCATGAGCGTAATGCAGCAGTCCGCTGGCAAGGTCATCCAGGTGGAACATGTGGACTGCAGAAGCTGAGTCTCCAGGAGGTCTGATAAGCCGCCCATGACGTGGAGGCTCTAAAACCATCAGTACAACGTCCTGAGGATTGTCACTGTCTCTCACACTAAGCAACAGTTCTGTTATAGTTCCAATTTTCCCTCTGCGGACAAGGAGGGCCTCGTTTCTGAACACATATGGGGCCTGAAACACAAAAGCATCTCAGAGTAAGACCCCCCAAAACCTGCGTGCCCAGGTGATCTGTTTAAAATGAGTTGCAAAGAGGGGAAAAAATGAAGGAAGGAAAAATGCCAGGAGAGGGAAAATAATCTACCCAGGATACTAATAGCAGTGAGCCAAACTGAGAGGCAGAAGCTTGAATTAATGCTTCTAAGTAGAAATGAGTCAATTAATACTGAAGGATGTGCTTTTGCTTGTCTCAAACTGAAAGTCCATCTCAAAGACAGCAAAACTGGGCATCACAGCCTTATTTCAACCTAGAGCGAAGATCAGCTAGAGTCCACAGTTCTGCTCCTTTAAATTAGTTCCCTAGTTCTTCATGACCAAGAAAGTTTTAAATCTGCAGTCCCTATTGATCCCGATAAACATAATTTGCCATCAGTAATGCCTTGCCTCGGGAGGGGGGTGATCCCACAGAGACAAAGTCAAAGCCCCGGGAACATTCAGCAGGGAGAAAACTGCTGCCATCTCACCTGCGTACAACTTATCAGGGTTATTAAGGATCGGCAGGCAAAATTCCTGTTATTAAACCTCACTTATGTATTCTGGGGCAGTGACTGCGGCTCTCACTTAGGTGAATGTCCTACTGAGGTAAACAAGAGATTAGACTGAGCAAAGATTTCAGAACCTGCCAGAATCAATATACACACAACAGGATCAAAATCTACAGTTTGTCTTACACTAAAGGACAAACCAGGAAACTTCTGGAAATTAGAAGCGATGGAATGACTATTATGGAATACAGTGAATAAGAACACCAATGTGCAATTAAAAAAATCATAATTCCTAACCCTGAAGCTACCACCTCTCCAGGACCCCAAACTGGAAAAAAAACCAAGCAGTGTGAAGTCTCAAGATTGTCAGAGAACCACAGAAATTATGTATCTCAGGAGAAGTTATTTCCCATATGGAACACCAGATACATTAAATTGGAGACCCTTCTGCAGGCCCCGAGAATGGTATGTAGTGAGCAAGTCAGCAGCTCACCATGTTTTTGAGTTGCTGGCTACACTCCTACTACACTCAGCATGAAGCACAGAATAGCACCAGCATCTTCAGACACAAACCCATCCACCACTGCAAAAATTAAAGAAATTAATTTCTTAAATTACTCATTGTGAGGATGGATGCTGAGTCAGGCTTGTAGGCAGGAAGGAGTCAGCACTAACAGAGAAAGGATAATAGGCAGATTTCCAGTTACAGTTTTATCAAGACAGTTAATGCCTCTCTGAGGATGTAAAAGGGCTGTAAGAGTACCAGACTCTCATTTCCACTTTAAAGTCTCTTTACACTGCTAGAATATGCCAAGTAGCCACAGCAACTTCAGTTTAGGCAAAGCTACCTGATTGAGCTGTCAACGAGACAGTTTGAGTATGGAAAAAGCTCAGTGCAAGCTGCAAAGCCTCCCTGGAAACCTGGACCCCGTGAACCCGCTGCCAGCAAGACCAGCAGGAAGCGGGAAGCTGGGCCGGGCAGTTCCAGCACATCCACTGCCTTCACAGCAGCACCAGAGGAGCCTGAGTTCAAGTTTAAGAGTAGCTTGAGTGGGAAACAAAGCCTGTCTGGAGGGAGGTGATGGTATGACCTACTGATAGGCTGAGCTTGGAACACAGCTAGGCTGAGTTTGGACAACTCCTCCGTTCTGTAATGCTGCGTCCTCTCCCTTAATGTGTATCTTGCACATCTCTTCATACCTTGCCTTTTTAGAGACCCTTAGAAAAGGAGTCTCAAATGTACTGCCTGTATAGCATCTCTCAGGGGTGAGGCCCTGCCACGATATCATGCTGCAGACTTTAAATTACAAAACTATGAGAGACGTGGACACTTGACAGTACTTGCCCAAAAGTGGTGAGCAGTTTATGAGACACACCTTAAATAGCTCATGCTGATTTAATTCCCAGCTGTCCCAGAACAGAGCATTTAAGTAAATGCTCTTGACTGTCAAAGCATCCCCGCCATAGGGATCAATTGTTGTTCAATTGCCCTGCAGCAAGAGACGGAAGCAGACCATCCGTGGATCCAAATAACAATTTAAACAGCAGGGACTCCTTAGCCCTCACTCATAATCGCTCTACGATTGTACAGTTATAATTCCCCACACAAGCAAAATCACATGGGCCAGCCGTCTTCAGTCACTTGCCCCAAGTCCAGTTCTTCCATATGACTTTCAGCTGCCTCTCAACTAAGTGAGAACTGGGTCTGATCTGCCTGACCCGAACTCCAGCTCAACTTATGCCCAGCTCCTTTGTTATCACTGCAAGAAACCAGGGCTCCAAACAGTACAAAATTTGTGGGTTTTCCCAAGCTTTGTCACATTACCTGTGTTGAAAATGCTTGAATGTTGACCACCTCGGGATGGGAGAAGAAATGTTGATCACTCATCTTCAAGGAAAACTGCCCTTTCCTAAACAAGTTCCCAACAAGCCAAAATATTGAAAAATACAAATTAATGAAGTGCTCTTGCAGGAGTCAATAATGATAAAAATATTATTATATTCCATAGAAATTATTCGCTTAGTGACAGCAGCTTTAGCTCAAGTTTTTTCAATCATGTTTTTAGAGTATATTTTTCTGAAAATTCACAACAGTCACAACATGTAATAAAATACCTTTAACTATTTAATAATATACCCTCATTTCCCTTTAACTAACGTTATACACATAGGATGGCATCTCCAAGATAATGTGCTGAGTCTAAATGTCAGCCCTTCACTGCTAAAGAAAAATGGCACTTACCTGGCTTCAGAACCTAAGCTCCCACTTTTCAGCATATTTGCTTCCTATTTATTGATAATGCCACCCAACAACCTTGAACATAATAAAGTAGCTGTGTTTCTCAAGACAAGATCCTGATGTTTCATTACGACTACCAGTCAGATAAAAAAAAAAACCAACCATGATACAGAAACACATGCCTTAAGTCTGATGAACATGAGCTAATCCTTGGCATCAGGACACCCTGAAAGTCTTATTGAAAACAATGGATCAAAGAACACCCTAATATATACAGGCAGAAATTTAGAACAACTCCACTCATATCAGTCTACTCCCAAGGCTTTATGGTGATGTAAATCAAGTGTGAAATTTGGCAGGATGACTGGCTTATTGCCTGGTAGCAGGAAAATCTGCTTCCTTGCAACATGCTTACAGTGTGAGCATTGCCAGCTACTAATCACCACTAATTATCCCAGGACACTAACAGGGCTCATATTGCAGACAAAGTAGTAATGGCTGAATGCAGATTATGCTGCAGAGCATAGTGGTGACATCATTTAAGCATCTTCCTGACAGTATCAAGAAACCTTTGTAAAAAACAGATTAATATGCCTGTTTTCAATTTAGGGCAGAGTATCCTGAAGATGAGACAGACTCCTGCACCCCTAAAACACATCAGGTTTGGTAGCTGGATCACTCTGACCTCTTATATCATAAACAGAGAAGTTCTGTATCATCATTTATATTATGGTACAGTATAAATACACTGGTAATCTATTTAACAGCAGTGAGAACTGAGCTTCACTGTAAGAATGCTTCCAAGGAACAAGGAAATACCTGTCCTCAAGATACACCATTTTTTTAAAGGCAAGAGCTCTGAAAAAAGTTTCAACAGTCACCTGGATTTCTCTTCGCTGTGCACAAAACGAACCCTCTTCTCCTTCACATCCTTGCAGCTGAAGCGGTCACCTTTGCTCAGCTGCACCTCCTTCCCGTTTCTCACCATCACTAGCCTGCCGTTGGAGGGAGTGCTGTCGATATGGAAAAAGAGCTGTCCCGTGTCACCATCCAGATCACACACACCCAGTAAGGAGAGGTCTAGGGGCTTCACCCCTCCAATTCCTACTGTGAGGGTACTGTTCACATGGAAGCTCGTGGAATACTTGCTGGCTGAAAAGAAAGAAGGGAAAAGTATTACTGAATGAATTCCAGCCACGTGTTAGCATCTTGCGTGTCACTACCATCTTTTGGATAACAGACCAGCCCCTTATAATGCCCTGTTCATGGAAGATCCAGGTGGACAACCACCACCTCAAGTCACTTCCCATCTTGAGCTCCCCACCACAAAACTCAAAACCAACATACACTGACCTGGCCTGCAGATGGACTAGTGAATCTTCATTTAGATAAAGAAAAGATAAGTAAGAACCATGGTTGACTTAGTAAGGGATTTAGCTCAAGATGTTTTTGTTTTATATTGACGATACATGATGCTGTGATTGGGAAGACATGTCTCACATAACTTCACTTAAAAAACCATGTACACGCACATTTTATGAAACAAAAAAGTTGGAAAAAAATAGCTGCCAACTTTCAACAGTCAACATGAAACCGCACAAAAGTGAATTCCAAAAATGCCACTATGATGCTGCGATTGGGAAGACATGTCCCTGTTCCTAACCAGGTAACTTCACTTAAAAAACCATGTACACGCACATTTTATGAAACAAAAAAGTTGGAAAAAAATAGCTGCCAACTTTCAACAGTCAACATGAAACCGCACAAAAGTGAATTCCAAAAATGCCACTGAATGAACACTACTTCTGGCCTTAAAATCTGCTGGAAGCCTGCCAGCTCGGTTGCTTTATGAGAGACACTCACCTTCTTCACACTCTCTGGTCCGCATATTGCCATAGAAACCCTGGCCACAGGCAGAAACACAAACTTTATTCTTCAGAAACATGGTGCTATCGCAGAGGTGACACAGGCTGTCGCTGTCACACTCCAAGCATCCGGGAGGACAAGCTGAATCAGATGGAAAGCACAACCCCGTTGAGACATTGCACAAACAATGCAGGTACTGGTACACACAGCTGTCCCGGGGGTCAGCTATTTGTGTCTTACCTACCTGACAAAAATAATCAAAAAGAACGGGCAAAGAGTTGATATAAAAGAGTTAGGAAGATCGTTCCTCGTTTGACATCTGTTTCCCACTGACAACAGAGAAGCTGAGAGAATCTTCCAAATGGAAGAAACATGTTTTTAAGTAACTGTTACACCAATTTGAAAAAAATACTCCAAACGTACATTCAAGTCCTACACAGCTTGTTAACCCACACATATAACTGAAACCTTTCTAAAAATGTGGATTTAATACCAGGTTTTTTTATGTACAGTGCGTACACACACACACACCAGCAGCCATCTACACTACATCTCATTCCTCCTGCATTAGGCACATCTAAATGCAGATACAGCCTGTTAACTAATTCTCAAGTTGGCTGCATCATCGCAACAGCAGGTTTAACAGAGCATCCAAGCGCTTCCTCATCACCCCAGCCTTGGGGAGAAAAAGCATTGTACAGAACAGACTACAACCCTGGTCCCTCTCCACATCACCCTCACTTTGCTTACCTCTGCACTTTCGATGTGTGCGGTCTGCATAATACCACTTCCCACATTTGTGAACGCAGCGAGCGTCCAAGAGATAAAACGGGGCTTCGCAAAGGCTGCACTCATCTGGCTGGCGACACTGAAGGCAGTGTTCATCACACCCTAAAAGTTGTAGGTAAAGAGTTCAGCTCAACACCGCTTTCAAGTGCTTCCTGCACCGTGCTGTAACACCCGCAGGAACTGCAGCTCTATCACATGTGTGTGCTGGAGGGCAGCGAGAAGCCGAGGCCAGAGCGTGCCTTCTGAATGCAAGACGTGCACAAATTGGAGACAGGCAGGGAAACATGTTGGCAGCAGTGATTAGAAGCAATACTCGATAAGAACTCACTCTGGCATGTGTCTGATTCCTTGTAGAAAGCCGCAGGGCACTGTTCCACACAAGCTCCTTCATGGAGAATGTAGCCCTCCATACACTGCAGGCAGTCAGTCCGCTGGGAACCTTTACAAGCGTTACAGCTCCAGTCACACTCTGGAAGTAACAAAAAGTCAATCCAAGGCAGCCCCTTCTGGGGTGCCCACCCTGTAACAAGTGCTTAGCACCTGGGGTCTACAAGCCATGCGAATATAAGCCCTAGGAGCAAAGGGCACAGTAAAAATTGTTACAGAGACACTAAAAAAAAAAAAAAAAAGAAAGCATGATTTGTACTGAGTGACTTGAGTTACAACTCAAGATACAGGGTTTTTCTTCCCCTATTGGACTTAATTGTTAACTGTATAAAATTTGGGCAGGCTTGGCTCTTGTTCAGCATTCCGACCTGTAACACTGGCACAGTTTTGCCACCCACGAGGCTTCACTTTATCCCATAAGTAGCAATGCTCCTTTTCTGCCAATGCCGAGTTTGTTGCTCATAGCAACTATCCATCCCACTTCATCAGTCTCGTGCTTTCAAATGACTCTGACCAAAAGAAAATGAAATCGTTGTCTCTCACAGTCCAAATGCCCCTCTGGAAAGTCCAGTGGCCAGAAACACACTGGCTCCAGCTGGGATCAGATCTGCCTTCAGAGTCCCAGCCATGTCCATATGCCCAAGGACTATTCAGGCTGCCAACACTACTGTTTGTTTCTTGATGGCACTTAGAGGGTGTGTATCAGCAATTAATGACAGATACACTCGGCTGATGAGGCAAGAGCAAGAGGGGAAAAAACAAGAACTCATTGAGATGAGCTGAACTACTCCAGTCCAAGCAGCATATCCAGGACAAAGCCAGGAGTCCTGACTCATTCCACCACCCTAAACACCAGACAATGTCATCTCTCAGCGTTACGGGGACATGTGCTACTCAGCTAGGCTAGGCTCAGGTACTGAGAGCGCCAGCTAGACATGAACACTGCAATCAAGTCATTTGTATTATATCCTGGTCTTCACAGTAGCTGCCATAAAGCCATATCATCCTCACTTATTTCCATTACGGAGCACTCTCCTTGGGACTTCTGGAAATCTTTCAAGTCATGTGTCTTTTAAATCACTCCAAACTGTTGTTTCTGCAGTCATCCAGTGATGCAGTATTTAATAAGACAGAGAGAAGCAGGTAAGTACACAAGGCCCTATAAGCACTCTAAAAAGGATTTAGCTTGGTAAGCTCACTCGTTATTCAGCTGACCCATGACTAAATGAATCTCTGGACCTGACCCTTGAAAAGTTTGCTGGCTCACTTACTAAATCATTTACAAGAGAAGGATTTGCAACAATCTTATTTCAGTGAACGGCTGAAGTATGCGACAGCAGACTGCCAAAAAAGAGAAAAAGCTGTAAAAGCCTTGCAAGTGGTCAGTCACTGAACAACTCCCCCCCATACACACTTTTTAAAGCAGGGCCCCTGCACAGATCCTGCTGCAGTGAAACACATTCTCAGTCAAGGCACTTGTGCATTTTTTTTATTTTTTTCTTTAAACCAGCAACGTATTTTTCACCTCTGCATGTCCTGCTGGCAATATCCAGGTAATACTGTGGAGCGCAGCTCTCGTACTGGCATTCTCCAAACAGCAGGACCTTGGCTGGATCTCTGCAAGATGTACAGCCCGCGGCTGATTCACAGCTCAGGCACTGGCTGTTGCAAGCTGTGGAAAGACAAAGAAAATAACTGTAATTACTGAGGCACCAGTCAACTGTACAAGTAAAAATGGTACTATCCCGTAGCCATGCTACTCCTTGTGTCCTCTTTGAGACACACCTGTGGAGACTTCAGAGCTTTTGCTTCTTATGTTCCTTTTCATAGCTTCCAAAATGTAAAAAGCCTCCTTCCATTTGGAACAGACAATGTCTCTTCACAGTGGTTCTTACTCTCCTCTGGACAGGCCAGGGTAAAACACTGATCGTGAATGCAAATCTCCAAATAAGAGCTTTCCCTGTCTCCATTTTAATGATTCTCTTTAAAAAGTCTGCGTTTCATTTCTGACTTAACTCGTAATGCACAAATTAGGAGACCATAACAGACTGCTGCAGCCCAGTTAGTAACCCCAAGCCAGTTAGCAAACCTTGGTGGGACCAAAGGCCCATTTAATTTCACTTAACGTTTCCACCTTTTTCTTTGCACACAGTGTGAAATTTTGGAGCTGTAGGGAGCAAATAAAAGTGCCAGGAAAAAGTAATTCATGCATTTACTAATCTAGGATCAAAGTCTAGAGGTTCAGAATATTTCCACTCACCTCTTTGATGTCCAGGGTCTAAACTTCTCAGGAAGCTGTACTAACAGCCAAATGTACTCAGTGCTGATGTCAGAGCCCCTAGCTAATTCACAGCAGATTTACTAGCCATGTGCTAGGAAAAAAATAAAGAAATGTTTCCTAGCCCCTCCCCCATGCACTGAAAAGCTTGCTCTGTTTCTGGTGAGACAAAACTTTACAACAATAATATGCAGAAAGCTCATGGAGGTTCACATGTCTGTTTTATACACACAACTGCAACTGCCCTGCGACAAAGTAGAGTGATGGGGTACGCAAAAGGGACTGCTAAATTCCTGGTCAGCTACCCCCAGGTGTTGCTGCATCCATACAGAGGCAAAATCTTTGCCCAAACTCAATCCTGTACTTAAAATAAATCAGAAAAATGCTCTGAGGACATAGCCCCAAGTGTTCAAAGAATAAAGCATAGCTGGCCGTCTTTAATGGATGAACAAACAAAGGAACCAGGTTTTAGCTACAATTAAGGTGCTTAATACTGACACTTTACTTGCAGTAACATGTCAGGTGATATGCTAATTGTGGAATCCTAATTTAGTGATATGCTAATTGTGGAAATCCACTTCAATTCGCTTTTAATTCAAGACAGAGGTGTATAACCACAAAACCTCAAACATACTGAAGCAAAAGTGAAAATACTTGCGTTGCTCTCACTGAAGTAAGAACCCAGGGCCCTTCAAAATAGTTACTTCTTTTACTTCATCTAAAAAATGTCACAGAAGGTCTGTATCTTATTGAGGTACAAAGAAATTTCTAACAAAATGTTACCTGAAGAGTCTAGTAGCTGGTTTTAGGTGTCCTGGTGCCAGTCTGATTTCACTTCCTTAACAATACTACATGGAATAATTATTTGTAAGTGCTATGAAAAGCCAGCTATTAAAAGTCTGTAAAACATTCCACATGAGGTCTAAATCTATAGAAATCAGGTTACCCACAGAGGTGTGCCAGAACAGTAAGCAAAAACTGTATTTGAAAGCAATCCTGCCCGATTGTTTTATCAGCATGACTCCATATCTGCATTTTTAAACCCACGGAGAACTTGTTAAGCTTTGCACTGTTCCTTGGCCAGCATGTCATGGAGTTTAAAAATATCTCCGTGAGTCCATACATGCACTCAGCATCTCTCTGAACTTCATTCCAAACCTGAGTTCCTCAAAAGTGCAATGCGACTAAAATAAACGTTGAAGAGAGACCAAATTTTCTCAGCCTAACAGCCAAGCTCCATTTAAACAGTTTTCATTACCTCTAAGTGGTAGTTTTCCAGCAGCCTGGGACAGTTTACATCTACATGGCTTATCAGCAGTACTTCACGTGAAAAGGCACAAGTGACACTTGGAATGACAAAAATCCAATACACCAACACACTTTGCCTTAAGCCTCCTGCCACAAGGATTACATACACTTCTTCAAAAGCCATTTGCAAGGAGATTAGAAAAGTTTCATTGTAGTTGAATTTCCTTGCAAAAATCTATTTGCATTTGAACTATTGAACCAAATTCAGGAAGGGTACAGTACAGTCCTTAGGAACATTTCACTTCTACCACCACGTCCTGAGGGAGGAGCTATCAATAGGCAAGTTTTCATTACAAAAGGGCATTTTAATTAGGAAGGGAGGTAGTCTGGTGTCGCTAGCAAGAAGTGAATCCATACTCCAGGACAGAAGAGTGAATATTTTGTAGTGCTTGTAGGAAACTAGCCAGGACAGTGAGAATCCCATGATTGCTTTTTTTTTAATTTGTGTTTTTTATTACTTTCCTTATTTCATTATGATTGAATAGCCTTTTTTTTACTATCAACAGAAGAATGGTACAAAGTCTTTCACCTATTTCCTTGAACTTATGCAAGGTGTCTCCATTTCTGCTGATAAAATGGAAATAATAGTTTCAGGAGAACCATATATTTCAACAAAAGGCAGGTAAAGCTGACAACCATATCAGCTTCTTCCTATAGGACTTCATCAGTCAAGAGATTGGGTCTAGATAGGATGACACTGATACCCTATACTGAGTGCAGTGCAACAGAGTTATTTTATCATAAATCAGGATAATTTAAATCAGGGTAATGCAGGACTTAACAAATCTGAGTGTTCAAGTTCACTGCAACTAAACCACTTAAGCACTCACTCATTTTTAGGTGTGTGTATCATAGCGGCTCAGTTCAAGCAGGGTTTTTTCATATTTTTTATGTCTCTGGACCGTATAATTTGGCGCTTTGGAACATCAAGCCAAATAATTATGTAAGGAATAACCCAAATGATGTCAGAGCCAAAGTGAACATAGAATAGTAAAGGAAAAGAGAAGCTCTGAGTGATTTGCAAGGGATAACAGCAGTAGGATAAAATATTACTGGACTTAACACCAGACCAATTACATCAGATCATTAGGAGGTAAGAATATCACAGCTCAAGTCGGTCGGGGCTGTGCCTACAAAGCTGTACCTTGCTTCTACTGAGGCTTCACAAGGGGAAAAAAGTAGCATAAATGCTGCAGTCTTAATACAGCTTCCATGGGAAGTGCTGGCAGGTGGCACAGCAGGGAGGGGCTGTGCCTTAGTAAGAATTGATTAAAACTGGTCTACACTTGTCAAGTCTTCAGAAACCATCAGAATCCACCAGTACTTTTGGCCACTTCTCCATGTACCACCTAAATAACTTAACAAAGAAGCCTACACAAACTCTCCTGCAGATTTTTACTGAGACACCCAAAACCTCTGTCTTTCAAGTCGATAACAAAACTGCAACAATGCTCACGTTTAAACCATACCGTAGGGTCTGTTCCTAAGGCAGCTGATCACCTCTGTTGCCTGACATCGAATTTTTAGGCACTTGAAATCTTTCTTTTCCTGGCAAAAGGAACAGTAAGGGAAGGAACAAGAAAAGACATGTGGGTGAATACCCTGTGGAAAGGAGGGACGGCTTGGAGAGAGACACTCACGTTTGCAGGTCTGCCTGTCATCCCTGTAGTATCCCGGGGCACAAATCGGCACACACATGCTGGTGTGGGAGAGAACCAGGCTGGTGTTGCAGGAAGAGCAGGAAAAAGGACCCCTGCCAGTGCAGGTTTTACATGAGCGGTGACACCCTGCAGGGACAGCAAGAACAAGTGTTTCTGTTTAAGGAAAAGTAGATCTTCGAGCAAGTTTCAAAAGCTTCACAGATTCAGAGTGGTGGGGGTTGGAAGGGACTCTAGAGATCATCTAGTCCAAGCCCCCTCGTGGGTCCATCCCATCAGGGCCTATGGATCTGTGTTTCAGCAGAAGCACTCCCAGAGACTATGCATGGTGATACCGAGTTCCTACTAACTCTAAGCACAGCGCTCAGGAGCAGAAGCACAATCAACCCACCTTATGACAGACAGGTTGAATGGCTTTGTTTGTGCTCTCTGTGCCACGCACGCTAGCCCTCACCCCTCCTCTCCTTTCTCCATCTTTTTACCCATTCCTCTTCCCTCCAACCTTCCCCTCTGAAGAACAACCCTACAGGATCTGGCCAAGACCTGTCTATCAGAGAAGAGTGAAAAAAAGGCAAGCGTGCTTTCCCTCCCATGCTTTCTCTCAACTACTTTTAGGTCAGATCCTCCTGAGCCTGACGTGCTTTGTCTGTATAGGAACCATCTAGTGCTATTCTCACAGCTCCACACCTCTCTGAAGATTTACATCCATCCCTTTGGCAGGAGTGCATGGTTGTTACCTCCTCCAAGAAGCAACACTGACAGAGAACAGCCATTCTCTATGCGCTCTCTCTCCATTTCACTCATGACTTTGTAGGCCTCCATCATATTTCCTCCCTCCTAAGGACTCGGGTTTTTCAGGTTGAAGCACTGTGGTCTACGCAGTTGCTTACAGTACAGAAACCCTTCATTCCTCACATCCAGCCCTGCTGCCTTCCCCTTCTGAGCGGGGCAGAACTTTTCATAGCACACAGCTCCTTTAGACAGCAGCAGAATGAATTCTTCCATTCCTTTTTCCTTTTCTACTAGTGCCTAACATTTGATTTGCTTTTTCAACGTTGCTGAACACTGGGATGCCATTTTCACAGGCTGATTGATCTTTACTTCAAGATCACAGCAAGGATGCCATCATTCTGCATGTGAGGTTAGAACCAGGTATCCCTGTGTGCATCATTACATCTGCCTCTACCAAACTTCCATCCCTTGCTTTACTGCCCAGACACTCGGATCCTTCTGTAATAGCCAGCAATCCCACTGACTGCCTCGAGTAAGGGAGGACATTACTGTATTTTTCTTTCCCTGCACCTTTGAAGAGATATTATGCCACCCCTTGTTTTCTTCCCCCATTTCCTTTCCATCCCTTTGTCTCATACTTCTTGTGCTTCTAGTCTGATTGAAGACATATTTAAAATACCACAGTGGATGAGGCCAATGCATCCTATTAATTTCTCCAAAGGGGGCACACACTCACAAAATTTTTAGTGTTTTGTTTCTTGATAGGCCTTTACCTAGAGATTGATGCCATCATTACACCTATCACGACAAATTAACCAGGAGTGAAAGTGGGCAAAGAAATCAGAGAAGCGACTGCATTATGCTGTGCTGGAGATCTTTAAAGCTAGCACAAATTGTACTATGAGCTCTGACACAGTCTGAATAATGCAAAACTTCTTTCAAATGAAACCTTTATACCAAAGGGAAGGAATGTTATCCTTAGGCTTAAATTTCCAGGAAGGCAAAATATTTCTGTCAGAGTTTTTTCCAATTAAATGACACAGAGTATATTTCATACGTCTCTGAAATTTCATTTGTCAAAAACAGGTAAATAAGCACACACCTCCTGGAGTGCTTGAGAGAAGCTTTGAAACATTAACCATCAGCGTCAGACTGGATTAGGAAATGCCACTTCCTGCAAAGGGAGCATCTCCATCTTAGTTCTAATGTGCAGAATTTCTTCTCTATTTCTTTTTCATAAAATAAAAGGCAATACCTTTGCTCAGCGTAAGACACACTGGGCTTTAACAGGTCTCTGCTGGCCACATAACAAGAAAAGCAACCTACTTCCTTCTAAGAGTCCAAGAAATGTAAAGCAGCTCAGGTAACGGGATAGGTGAAGGCATGGAAGGCTAGAGAATAGAATGTGCTATCAGTGCAGCTTCACCCACGCAGCTGTAGCACTGCATCTATCATGCCAGCTTAAAAGGCCGAATGAAATTGGCTTTTTGTTTTAGAACCTGCTACGACTGATCACCATTTGGACCACTGCTGTAGCAAGACAAGTCTCAATGAGAGACCTTAGCTAGGATGATGTTCCATCTCAGGTTGCAAAACGTCCTGAGAAGTTGCTACCAGCAAGAGCTCTGCCTTCTGTGAGCAGAAGTTGCATAGCCCCTCAAAGCACACATCTACAAAATATTGCCAAATGTCAGCATCCCAGAACTGTGCGGGTCCCACAAAAACTGGAGACTTGGGGATGGGCACATGAAAAGTCTCTGTTTGAAGTTATCCTTTATTGTGCTTAAGCAGCACAGCTCTTCCTAGGAGCGATCTCGGGGTAGCTACTCTACATAGCGTACTGCCATCCTATTCTCTGTGCCACCGTCTTTGACAGATGGGATTTACCAGAGAGAAAGAGAAAATCCCACCTTCACCTCCTCCTCACAAGCACACTGCTGTCTGGTACTCATTACATCTATTAATTGTATTGTAACACCGGGTTAGGTCCCACTAGCCTCAGCTTGTGCTCAGGAGAGAACAGCAATGTCTGTCCCAAAGAGCTCACAGTCTGAAACCAGGCACAGGTTAACAGCAACAAGGAAAGAGCGCTAAGGCCTCCCCCAGCTCCCAGTGCAGTGTCCTGCCAGCTGCACAAAGCTTCTCTAAATAGGAACTATTTCATGGAATGTCTCACAAGGATCCAGGCGGTCCATTGCAGCTTCTGGAGGACTGTAGGGACTACTCACTTTTGCAAGCACCATTCTCCGCATAGTATCCCACCGGACAGTCAGGAATGCAGTGATCCCCCAGGAGCAAGTGACGGGCGTTCTGGCACTTCAGACAGATGCTGCCGGTGTCCCGCAGGTTGGCCACACACTGACGGCACAAAGGGTGGCAGTCTAAAGGAAGGGGAGAATAACGGATACTGTGATCACAGATGGACAAAACAGAACTGCTAAGGGGAAACAGACTGCTGAGAACTCAAGGAAGACATTAGGGACATAACTTTCAGAGCCCCTTTCTGCTATCTGATGCACAACAGCTGGGATCAGGTGCCAAATACTGCACTTCCAGACGTCTGCAAGAGAGATGACCAGAAATCACCGGATTCAAGGAGCATTCCTTCCCTCTTGCCCTCATCCCCATCTTGTGCTCTTCCTGAGCACCACAATGTTTTCACTTTTCCTCAGGACCCCGCTCTCCGCATCTCTCCTGCCCTACTCCAGCATCCTCTTTCCCATCCTTAAGTGAGCTTGGGAAAGCTTTGTACAAAGCCAGTTCAAAGCTCTTCGCTTTCCCCAAAGACTTCTCTGATTTTAGGTGCTTCTGCCTACAGGTTTACCTTTAACAAAATATGCTGGCAGCCATAGGCATTCCCCTCCCTCTACTCCCCCCATTGAAAAATGAAGAGCACAACCTGTACAGCTCTATGGCCTCCTCCCATAGTATTTGCTGTTCAGATTTTCCCACACAAATGAGACATCCATACCCCAAAGAGGCCACTGCAGACCTCAAAGCCAAGCCAAGAGCAGCATTTAGAGCTGCATGAGAGTGCCTCAATACCTTCTCCTTTTTTCCTTTTTCCCTAGCAGCACGCAAGCTTGTGCCTCCTGACCTCTGCCTGAACTTAGGTGCTTCAAAAGGTTTTACAACAAGCCTTTTGTATGCACAACAGTGCAGTGTAAGGCAACCTGGAAGCCAAATTAATCCTCATTATGGTAATTCAGAAAAGTATAAAGGAAATGACAACTGTCTTGAAAGAAAAGTAATAATGAGGCTTGATTTCAGTACCTGGCCTCTTGTCAGACTCCTATCGAAGGTTCAACTTTTCTGTCCTTTGTCTCTCATGACAGCATTACTAAAGATTGTCAGGCAATCTAATTTTACAAGGTGAAGACAGGCTCACACGTAAGCGTGGTGGAATTGTGCATCCATACCTGCAAGAATGTGACAGCGACTGAAGTCTAACCCTAACGGTACACAGAGATGATTCCTACCAAAGCACAGATGCAGCTCAGGAATGAATGCAATTCTGACTGCATCCAGGGAGTCAAGGTCCTTAAAGCAGATGCCTCTTTTGCCTCCTGACTTTACAGGGTATATAATCTATCTAGTTTCTGCTCCACACTCCCAACCTTGCAAATGGGAAATTAACAGCCACAGGAAAGGTAAAGATGAGCAAGAAGGAATATTATGCTTAAGATAATGACCCTGTAGGTTCTCAATCCAACAGTATCAGGACAGTGAAAAGCAAAGCAGCACATAAGGTGATGCTCCCAAACTCAGTGACAAACCTCAAAACCTCCTTAGAGGGGTCACAGCTTACAGGGGTTATTGTACTGACAGGAGGAGAACTCAATACCCAAGGTATCATCCCATGAAACCTCACAGCCAGAGATCCCAAAGCTGTGCTGACATTACAGTGGAAAGACCTGACATCTATTGGAGCCTCACTGAAGCCAGGAAGGATCACACACAGCTCACCTTAGACAACAAGGACTAAAATACCATCCAAAAGGCCCTGAGAACTATACTCAATTTGTATGTACAGGGCTGGAGGCGGGGTGAAGAGTTTCATGCACTTATATTCAACATAATTAACATAAACACGATTAGTCTCTCATGTTTCCACGTTTACCTGGCAATATGTCTATTCCCCTTATTGTCAAAATAATACTCCTCCAGTTTAATCTCTTGCCTGAGCCAAAGGTCTCTAACAGAGTTTGGCTAGATGCAGTAACTAACCAAACCCAGCAACAGTGACCAAGAAAAAGAGAGACACCTGTGCATGGTCAATAGGTTCCATAAACAGAGCACAAAAATGAGACAGAGAAAACTAAGGATGCCCAAATAACCAGTATCTACTGTAAATAACTAGACAAACTAACATTTAAAAAGCTAAGTATCTAAGACAGTAGGTGCCATTGCAGTACAGTTTTCTCTTTACAGCCTCTATGTTTGCTATTGAAAGAGTAGTTTTTCTCAGCTGCTGTTTTAGGATAAATCAGCCCCAGCACTCTCTTGTTCCTTTGCAAGCCTGGAGATCAAAGAGCACACAACACCAAACAAAATACCAGAACTGATGCTCATGGAGAATTTGAGGGACATTGGGGATCTAGTGAGAGAGTAAAGGAAGAACTGAAGTGCTTTATTTTGGAAAAGATTATTTAAATTTTTCACAGCAGGCTCCCTTTGAAGCAAGGACTTACAGAAGCGAGTGTTTTCTCTATGCTTCTCAATAGTATCTCACAGCCCTATTTTCCTGCTCCTGCCTTCTCCCTGTCAATCCTCACTCCAGCTCAGCTAGCAGGCAAGGTATTGCCTGCAGGCTTTGGGCTTTCAGAGCCTTCATATCCCATGTTTGTTGCAGGTCAGTGCAACACAGTTACGTAATTCCTTTAGACTTCTTCCAGTATCCAAACTGGACTCTTCACAGCAGCGTGTCACTACCTTGCTCGTAGTCCCAATGACTCCTTACTCCCTTTTTTGAGATGATTGACTTGCTTCCCACTGTCCAAACAAAACTTTTTCCTGCTACCCTTTCAACTGGCTCCAATTTCCTCGTCCATTCACCTTTATGCAAAAAAAAAAAAACCAAACCCACCTTACCCATCACTGATTTTCCTACAAAGCAACTTTCATTGTAAAGTTTAACATAATTTCGTACGCAGTTTTCCATTTCCAGAGGTACTTTACTTCCACGTCCTCTTCAGCTCCCTCTTAGCACGCAAAGAAAACAGTGCCCTTCCTACATGGAAAGTATCCATTATACACTGTTCCCTTGCCTGTCAGGACAGGCTGTTTGCGGAGACAAAATTCCCTCTGAAGTGTTTGTGAACGCTCATAAAGGAAAGCGGAGACGTTTCTACCCCTCGGTTCCACTACCTGCTAAGCGATCAACCACTTGTGCTGTTTAACTATGCCTCCCCTCCTAAGGGCTCTTTCGAAAAGAGCTCCTGATGCAAGTTTTGTACTGTGAGGTAAGGTATGAGGTTTACAAGAGAGTACCATTTTAAATCAGTACTTAAACCACCATGCCATTAATGGGCACATCAGCATGCAAACGTGCTCCAGCACCTCATGGTAAATCCAGAAAGAAAATCAGTACGGTTGATTTGGAAGGAAACCCAGCACTGACCAGGATTTTTGGTTTGATTTGGTTGTTGGAAGGGTATCTTTTCCTCTCTTTAAAAGAGCTAAAAGGGAATCTGTCACACAAACAAGTGAGGTAAAGTGCAGCCACGTTTGCAGGGATCTGCCTGCATCTTCCGAAAAGGGTGGGAGCTTCTCTGGGCAGTGTAAGGTGGGAAATCCAGCTGGATGGTGCCTGGTGCAAATAAGCCCACACCAAAGCAGGGAAATGATTTTCCATTTCCCTCCACTGGCAGCTCAGCTGTTAATTTCTGTAGGAGGTTGCATGCCAGTGACTAAGCGGAGCTAAGCCCCCAGTTTCCCTCTTGCTCAGCTCAGCGAAACGCCAGCTCTTTGTGATGATATCAGTGTCTCTCTAAGAGTAAGGCAACAGCTCATTAATTTTACAAGGAGCTGAACGTATTTCTTGTTGTCAGTGTCCCTTCTGGAATTTTAAGAGCGAGGCAGAAAGGCTTGTTACAGGCATCCTCCTGCGCGAGCTCTTCTGGTTTATCTCTGAACATTTCCGCAACTGCCTAAGATCATGGGGGAGCGGGAGTTCCCTTTCAAGGAAGATGCCGCTGGAAGTTAAGATAGGACCTTGAGGGATACTGTATTGGTGGGTGTTTTGAATTTCATTTCACGGCAGCTTCCCTTCCTACTCATTCTGGTAGGTGCCCTTGGCATCCTTCCATGCCTTTAGCTGAGCACCCAGTAGAGCTCAGTCAGGGAACTCCTGGCTGCGGCCACTCCACAGTCCCTCTGCGTTTTTCTAATTGCCCTTCCACCAAGTCAGGGAAAGATGAGGGCGGAAGCCCCAAGGCAGGCATATGATTTATTCAAATCAGAAAAGTAAGGACAGGAGTTTATGAGCAGAACACTTTTAGCAACGGTGCTATTTTTCAGACTGGTGACTGCAATGTTTCCTGAAGCTGAGGTTGTCTTGGCTAAGAGGGAGAGAGAAATCAAAGAGCATTTTCAAACTGGGAAAACAAAAACCACAGAAGCCTTGAGACTCAATAAGGGACTGCTAAAGCCACAGACACATTCCTGTACATACACTTCAGCTATAAAATAAAATTTATCAATTGTGCACTCTCAGATTGGCACAAATTCAGCGTGCCCAAACCAGAGCTTCGAAACTCATCGATCTTTTGAAACTTGAGCTCATTTTGTCTTTCTTCTGCTTACACTTGAAATGCTTATTTGATAAATTGCTGAAAACAACATATTTTTTTCTATTAACAAGGCAAATGCTCCAGTCCTCATTCAGGTAACATGTACAATAACAACATTAATTCACAGGCAATGGTTTCAAGTGACAGTTGGTTTTCTCCATCCTGTATGAAGGATTTTCCCCTGCAGGTCCATAAAGTATGACAGGTGGCTCTAATGCAGAGCAGTCCCTGTAAGATGTAACACAGCTCTGCCTGGAGGATCAGGAATTAGAGATAAATGGGAAGATAATTGTCAAAAAATATTGCTTTGGGAAGCAAAGAAAAAAGCTTTGTTAGATTCTGATGCAAATCATATATTATGCAAGTGTCAGGGGTTTTAATGTTCTCTTTTATGGGACAGATGCTCTTTAACTGGTAATTAATAACTTGCAAGGGCAAATTTAGTGTTTCAGTCAGTGCTGAATGAGAAGAATGAGTGAAATTTAACAACCTGGATGTGGAGCTCTTTATCTCCAGCAGAACTGGCAATACACATCCTTTGTTTAAAGATCAGAGGTAAATTTGGCACAAAGAGCAACACACTTCAGACTGCAGATCTGAGGGAAACTTTTCTTTCAAGGCAACGAACAACTATGTTCCTCCACAAGGGTTTTCAAAACTTCATTTAAACAAAGAAACATCAACGCATCTGTGTGCAAGACCAGGGAAACGTTAAGGGTTCCCATGTTACAAGGAATGTCTGTGCTGGCCTCTCGAAGGCAGGACTGACACGAGTGAGTCACACAGCAAGACTAAGGTCAGAGCTGGGAGGTGGAAAGGTGTCTCCTTACGTTCTTACTGTGTTGCACCTGGAAAGCCTTTTCTCCTGTTTTGGGGGCACAAATCCAAACACTCAGTATTGACACTCCGTGATGCCAGGCACTGTGAACCAAGCCTTGAAAACATGTTTCTACTTTAAGCAGACAAGTTTCCAGACAGTGGAACATGTTCATGACCTAGGGAGCTTCAAAATAAAGCTGGTTAGTTTGCAAGGAAAGGATGCATCACCACACTGCAATGCCTTTGGAGCCCAGAAGTCAGGCAAGGTCCTTTGCAGACGATTCATCACTGTCAGTGTAGTGCGTCTGGAGGTCAAACCTGGCCTTCCACATTGCCTGAGCAAGCCTGTTGATTCCAATTCCTGCTCCTCATTATTGCCATGCACTGTGACATCTACCCAATCACCTGGGATTTGGGGAGCAGGCTTATTGCACCACGACACCTCGCAAACCTTACAGGTAACAGCAGCCTAAAAGGGATAATTAAAGCACGTTGCATGCAGCAAGCAGCAGAGTAAACCCTCCTTAGAAAGAATCCTGGTCTTTGATAAATGGTACCAAGTTTTTCCAACGAAATTTACAGCTGGAAGACCACATTTCCCCAGGCCTTTTTTCATAGGAAGCATAATGCAAAGTAGTGGGAAAATAAGGTGGAAGAAATAAAGTGCATACAGCTATGATGCGACAGGACATTAATAAATATCGTTGTAGACCCTGAAATTTTACAGGGCAGAGACAGCTCTGTACACCAAAATGCTGAATTATTTCCATATTGTAATTACTTGACTGTATGAAACATCTTGATTCCCCAGCCTGATTTCTTGTATACCCGAGGAGCTGTATAATACTTTTAGGATATTTTCCTACTCCTCAGATAATTTGTTTCCCTTTATGTTTTCTTTGTCTCTGTAGGCAAAACAGTAACTGTTGTTTAAAAGGCAGATGAAGAAATGGTTCATAAAATCAATCTGTGGAGAGCAAAGAAACAAGTCTTTCATCAAAAAAACCCCAAAACATATGTAAACAAAAAGAAGTCTCTGTGAAGGGGAATCATCTATATTAAAACACAAACAATAGCCTCTCAATGGATAGATTTATTCCATCTAATGCATTTTTCCCTTTTCTTGGGATTCCTTATCTCATTTGGAACTGTTCCGCCTAGGTTAAGCCTCACACGCCTTATCTTCTTTGAAAAGAAAAAAATGGCTTGATAGAGCTCAGAAATTGTTGGAGCAGTTCCCAGGATATGTTTATACATGCCCACGTGATGGATTAAAAGCGATTTTTCTTTTTAAACAGATAAGTGCAATCAGTTGCTTCTGATGATAGGCTTAAGTGAGCACCCACAAAGTATAAAGCCTATATAGAAATCCTGTTACCTCCCAAAAATGCACACAGCAATGCTAGCTGTGCCAATTTTTCTTTAGGGCTCCATATACCGCTTCTCCGAATCACAAATGTTTCCTTAATTCATTTTACTGAAGCTCTGTGCTTTCCTGGCTCTGGGTCCCCCAGGCTTGGTTCTACAGTGACAGGCAGTATGCTGTAAAGCCCAAACTGGAGCAAGACACAGGTAAGCGTTTGGCCTGGCAAAGGCAAGCACATCACCACTCAACAGAGCAGAGCTCCAACCCATCCTATTGTTAAGTGCACGTTCATTATGGTTTTGATAAGTATATGGATGCTCTGATGATTCCCAGACATACTGCTCTGTACATGTGATCTCAAGTCTTCACACCAAACTGCACAGCAGCAAGCCTGGCAAAGGAGAGCCTTGTCTCCCCTTCTCCCTACTACCTGCATCACACAATTTTCGACGGACTCCACGCAGCTCTAGTGAAGATATGTACAGCAGCAGTGGTGAGTGGCTTTGCTCTATGCAATGCACACTGGAGTTTCCTTGTGGTATTTTCATCTGTGTGACATATTATTCATAACAGGCATTTTGATTTCTTCCCGGTGAGTGCTCAAGTAGCTGTTTACTGCCACAGAAAGATTATCACACTGTATGACCCACACCACCTTCTCTTACTTACCCACACAGTACCCCACCAGGTTGAGATACTGCTCTTCCTTGCAGCTAGTCCTGCACTTTCCACTAGCTAGAGTCGCGTGGGGATGGCAGGTTAAGCACTCCAAATCTGAAGGGCCACGGCATGTCTTGCAGGATGGATGACAGGCTGAGTAAGAAAATCAATGCTTGTTGTTATGGTCTTGGTATAGCCCACCTTACGTTCTCCCCTCCCCAGAACGCCAGCCCCTGTAATAATCATTTACTCCTACAAAACGTGGACATAAAAAGATCTAATAGCATCAGGGACTGCAGAGTTGTAGTTTGGCAGGTTCTTAAATCCTCATTTTGAATAAGCAAGATGAGAAATGAGTTGTCAGTTTAAAAACGTGATTTGTTCTCTGCATTAATCACGGTATAGATCTATACAACATATTAAATATAAAGAGATTGGCCCTTTTATTCCTCTCTCCAGCATATGATTGTGCACATAAGGGAGTGGGATGCACAGGGGAGATAAATTAAAACATCTTGGGATTGTATGAACATCATAGTGGCATGAATTTGATATTCATGAGTGGAAAATCTGGGAATTATTTCTGCACAAAGCCCTCCCAAATGGAAACCTATAAAACCTGAACACCATGCCAGCTCATTAGCTATTCTGCCTGCTAAAAGCTCAACAAAAAGATTGCAGAGAAAGTGGTTGAGATTGCTCAAAAACATTTAACTTAGACTGCTTTTGTATCCTTCCACCTTTAAAGATAGGTGCTGTATTTCCATGATTTCCATGCTACAGATCTGAAGGAGATAGAACTAGCAGGGCTAATGATCTGTAAAAACTCTTAAAACCTACTTTCACAGCTCTCCTATATATAAAACTTCTGAAATCTCCCACCTCCGGCCACATACAACTGCTCACTCCCCACACAGAAGCTGGGCGTTTCGCAGCTGCCACAACATAAGCCGGAAAACGTCATGTCCCACCGCCTTCTCAGCTTCTCAGAAATCCTGCTCGTGAATTCAGCGTTGAGAAGGAAGAATCAATTTTCTAGACACACCTATATTAACTGAGATTCGCTGTTCAAAAAATGCACGAGATCTAAGCTGGCAGCATACGGAAAGATGCCACTTCCCTGACACTGAAATTTTGTTCCTAAGACGTTTACGTAAGCCTGAAACTGCATAATGCAGCATTCAGCAGTTACCTCAGCTCTAAGGCAGCAGCGCACAACCTCAGAAATGATGAATCTTTACAATGGCCTGCCAAATAAATGTAGTTATAGAGTTGTTCCTTGGGTGAATAAATTGAATAAATAGAGCAATGAACCTTAGAAGATGCTTCTCTCTGTAAACTTGAGGCCTCCCTGGGAAGCGATCAGTAAATTCCTGCTACTGCCAGAACATATACATGGATGCCTGACCCAACAAATCTATTATAAAACAGCAGACATCTTTTCAGACCTTGAAGCGACTAATCAGATTTCAAACACCTGCATTTCCTCACCCATTCTACGTAGCAGCTCATCATGAATGGCATACCCCAAAGGCCACAGTTTTCTGTAAGTGGCAAACAGGATTTAATCGCTGCCCTCACTCAGAAGGTCAGTAGTCAAAGAGTCATCTGCTTAGATGAGATCAAACGAGCTGAATGAAGGCCACTTGCTGACTGGTGGGCAAGGCTGAGACACAAATAAATCATGCTCTCCCCACCACCCATCAGGCATACTCATAGATGCCATGGTTCTTCTCTATCTGCAGAATTCTTTCCTTCTAAACCCAGCAGCGAATTAAAAATGAAACTAATTCATGTGGACAATATGCTTATCTAGCCTAATAAAAGCAGAGCATTTTTCAGTATTGTCCAGTAAAGGCCTCTTTTGCCCTAGCGTGCTGGCTAAGAATATCATCCAAGCCTACTGAAATGAAACGCAAAAATATCTTCAGGGAAACAGTCCAGAGGAGCAAAACTGATAATAATTTATGATTCAATGTGTACGCCTCTCTCCCATTAGGAGGAGATTCCGTTTTCTGAAATTAGACTATCCTATTCTCCCCTGAAAATACTTAAATAGCCTCATATAAATCTGAGAGCATCTCTAATTACACTGAGAAATGCATTGCAAAGCGTGCATACGATGAAATTCAGCAGTATAAGCTGCAGGTGCCGGCACTATGCACTCACAGTAGCAGTGATCTTTGTGGCTGAACATCCCCTCCGGGCACTCAGAGAGGCATCTTCCTTCAAGCAGGACGTGGGAAGACAGACAAGCCGTACAGTCCTGGGAAGTGTTCCCCACACAGCCTGCACAGGAGGAGTGGCATTCTGCAGGGAAGGGAGAAACAAGAAGACAGAGAGAGGCAAATGAGTTCCAGCTTATCTTGGTTGTTACTGTCGTAGAGTATGGCTAGAGTGTTTTCTCCTCTGAGACGACAGGACGGTATTTCCTTTACAGGATTCTCTGCCTGCGAAAGGTAGAAAGGGCAGGAGTACAAAGGCTCTATAGCACACTACTTGAAGCTAAGGAGCAAACACAGATAGCTGCATATTTAATCTTTCTTTGCAGCCACACAATTCCTTACTGAAACGGAAAAGCTCAGATGTACGACGCTGTGTAATACCGTTCTCCCTGTAAGAGCTCTTGGGATTCTGCAAATTTACCAGATTCTGAAATCATCTTTTGCTACCACCCTACAGTTACTCCAGGAAGGATTTTCTAGCCAGCATCACTGCAAGGTTATCATCAGCCATTCTCGAGCAGAAAGAGCAAATACACGTAGAGGTGAGCTGGACACCTGACTTCACAGCCAGTGAAGCAAACGTTCCGAATGAAACGAGCGCAGTTAAAAAGTTGGACTTCTCCACCTTTACTGGTACTCACCCTAAAACCAGGCATCTTTAAGTAATCTGGTTAAATACGTATATAAACTCAGTAGTTAAAAACGCGGTATTTATTAGTTACTTGAGGTCACAGGTTGCATTGTGTGAGTCCCTGTTGAACACAAAGAGAGACTTCCTGCCCTCTAGGGAGACACGACAGACACAGGGCTGGAGAGAAGAAATGAAATGACATGATTTATACAAGTACACTTAGCTGTCTGTCAGAGAGCCAGAGAGGAGTCAGGGATCCTCACCACAAACACAATGTCTCCCGGACTATCTTTGGCTCAAGTGACTCAAATCATGTCAGAGAGAAAACTCTTAAGAGTTTGATCAGGGAAATCTCAAGCATTAGAAAAACAAAGAGATATTTCTGAGGTTTGATGAGAAGTTCACAACCACACAGGTAAATTCTTCAAAACCAACATTTTAACCACATATGAACGTGCTCTGTTCTGCATAGTACACATCTTTTGTGGGTTTATTTTTTGAAAAGGTGCATCTACAAACTTGGCATGAGTATTTTACAGGGGTACCTCAACGTTTGAAATATTGAATCTTCACACCCTGCTGCAATAAATCAAACTACTATTGTAATGCCATTACTAATACAGCAGAGCTAAAAACATGAAGAGCTGTGCCAGCATTCTTGCCTGATAACATACTCAGCACTGTCACCGAACTCTGCTCAGGCCTGTTTGTACAGGTCTGTTCACCCATCCGAGGCAGTGCTATATGGATTTTTTCACTCACTTTCCATACCATAACCTGGACTCACTCAAGAAAACCCATTACTTGCCAAGGAACAGCCACTGCATGGATTGGAGGCTCTGCACTAATGCCTTCAGGAACCAGTACAGAGCACTGGTCACTTTATGGTCTGTGTAGGTCACCGTTGAAGACAAAGTCATTCCACCAAAACAATACCTCTTCTTCCTCTTTTAAGATTGCCTAAGGCAAAAAAAGGAGCTTGTACAGACTCCATCAAGTTGAGATGAAGAGATAAAAATAAAATAAATGGATTTTAAATTATGTCCATTTCTAGAAAATGTTTTTTGAAGAGGAAGAAACAGCCATTGGTAGCATTGTTGCTATTGTTATTACTATTACTTCACTGAAGTGCTGTAGGGCCACCGTCTCTATGACTGGTCTTTCCACACAGGGAAATCACTGCCATTTCTGAAAGTATCATTTCTCCTTACGCTTAGGGTGGGCTGTGTTGGCACACCCCTTCAAGATATTCACAGTCTAACCTCTCAGCCCGCTTCTGTCTGCATTATTGTCAAGGTAATGCAATATGTTTGTTGTACAGGTATCCACACCGGCTGGCACAAGCCCTCTACAGGCAGGCAGACTGGCTTGCTGATACACCCAACAAACATTCTTTGCTGAAGTCCACAACAGCTTTATCTCAAAGCTGTGTGAAACCACATATATTCCCAATGTATAACATATTAGCCTCTTTTCCAAACTCTAGGCTTCATGTAAATACTTCCTATTTGGTATTTCAGGAGCAGTGATGGCACGTGTGCTGCAGGGCATCATAGAATTATAAAATCACAGAATGGTTTGGGTTGGAAAGGACCTTAAAGAGCATCTAGTTCCAACCAATATGCCATGGGCAGGGACACCTTCCACTAGACCAGGTTGCTCCAAGCCTCATCCAGCCTGGCCTTGAACACTTCCAGGGATGGAGCATCCACAGCTTCTCTGGGCAACCTGTGCCAGTGCCTCACCACCATCAGAACAGTTTCATCAAAAGACAAGACTGCTGTGGGGTGTCTTGACCTGCTCCAAGGGCTAATAAGGAGACAGCTCAGTCTTTTCTGAAAAGGATTTAAGGATTGATCCTGCTTCAAAATAAGTCAGTAGTAAAAATCACATACTAAACTTCAGTGAAAAGAAAGCTAAGCTAAGATAAGCTGGGCAGACTTGAACACAGTAGTTTAAGAAAAAAGTACCTGAATCCTTTAGTCACAAATCATATGCAGAGTATATTTTCCCTCAAAAGTACTAGTATATGCCATTCTGAAAGTTACTGAGTTTAAACATTCATGGCTGTCACAAGGCAAACACAGGAGCTGAAAGCATGTAAGAATCAAACATCATATAGGATCACCCTGCACACCTAAAACCCAGCGCAGCCCTGTGCTGAAGACTTTGAAGAGCTGTTCCCATCCTCTACTCACCTTTGCAGACTCCTGTGCTATCCATGTAGAACTGGGCTTGGCAGTGGGAGAGGCAAAGGCCATGTACAGGTCCTTCCATGGGCTGGTGAGGCTGCAGTGCATCCTCTGGTGCCCTGCACTGCAGGCAATGAGAGGCCTCCGGGCCGATGCAGGCACGGCAGGATGGATGGCAACCTGTGCACACAGCAAGAGAGCAAGTCAGAGTCGCAGCTCTGAGGACAGCTTCCTCAGACAGAAGGACAAGGCCCAACAACCTGGGCATCTGGTAGTAAACAAGAGAGAGAGAAAGGGGAGAAAACTTTGGTTTGGACCCTCTTGTTCATCCCTCTTTCCAGTTGTGTATTGCTGTAGACAGTGTGATCCTCAAAGAGCTAGCAAAGAGCGTACACTTTGCAGCAACTCGCAAACTAGGAAAACTGTCCCAGTGTGCTGTATTTGCTATAATGGAACAGGGATTTTAGAAAAATACTTTGACATCTTTCCCCCCACCCCCAAATAGCAGCTCTTTTCTTCAGTAAAGGTGATGAACAAATGATGCTGGGGAAAAAAACTGCAGTAGCGTGCCACAGGCAGTCAATTTTCCTTTAATTTCTGGAACTGTAACAGCGAACACAATCTCACTAGGAGAGACAGCAAGAAATGACAGGCTGAAGGGCTCACAGGAAGCATAAATTCATCCTTCGAATTTTCAGGTTTTCCATTGCTGCAAAAATGACCCCAGTCTTAGCAAATCTACTAGGTGTGTGTAGAATTTCATCTACCTCTTAACTCGTGTCAAGAAAAACTTGGAAGCAATGTATATTGTCCCCAGTAGTAAAATAGTCCCCAAGATCACTAACTCCTGAGGTTGTGAACACAGAAAGTCTTGGAGAAAATTTGCTTTTTGTTGCAGTGGAAAACCACCAGCAGGCAAACACAGGAATTACTCGATGACCAGTTCAGTGTAGGATAAAGGATCAGCATCACAGCTGGGTACCCTGAGCACAGCCCAGCGAAAGCCAGTATAGATACACTGTTTTACAGCAGCCGGGGAACTTACTCCAAGTATACAGCTTACCCTTGCAGACGTTGAAATCCTGGTAAAAACCCTCTCCACAGCCCTGCAGGCACTGGCCCCGGTGCAATGCCAGAGGAAAGGAACAGGAGGTGCAGTGAGTGGCCAGAGGTCCTTCACATGTGGAGCATGAATCATGACAAGCTGACAAAGAAACAGAGCACACAGAACTGAAAGGCCCTTTTTTGCTTTTTTGTTCTCCTCGAGAGTAGTGTTGCTGACTACAGTCTCCTCCAGCCAACAATGAAAGCTCCCAGCTGGCATGATATTCAGTGATGGGAGCAGAAGCGCATGTGTATTAATAAACTACTAACAGTAATAGCTCTCACTCACACAGTGTTTTGAATCTCAGCGTGTCTTAATATGCATCGCAAGGCAAAGAGGTTATTTAAAACAATTTATCACAAGTGAACCAAAGAAAACAAAAAAATCAAATTCCCTGTCCCCAGTCACACTTCTGTGCTCTTAACATTCCCTCCCCACAGGTAAACATCCGGAGAACAGAAGACAAAACATGGAGGGTGCCTTGAGAGCCGTAGAAAAGGTCGTGCAAATATGCCTTTTACCTCTGCATCTTCCACTGCTACTTGGGAAGTATCCATCCGGGCACTCTGACATGCACTTCCCATCGTGTAAGAGCTTATCTGAAGCACAGGTCAAACACCTGGGTTGGTCTGAATAGCACGTTTTGCAGAACCGGCCGCAAACTGTGGAAAAGGACAGCTCATTAACGAAATGCACTCAATTAGGAAATAACAGAGCCATCAGCCTGGTCACACCGATAAAATGAAGTAAGCCAAAGCACACTTCGTCCTTTCTTTGTCAGAAAGGCATCTTTAAACATTCCTCTCCAGCACAAGTAACCTTTCGCACTTCCCTGGAATAAGTAGTGACATCCATGGAGTAGGTGTGAGTGCAGACAGGTATTCACTGACTTGTATCCTGCCTAGGACTCTGAGTAAGTACAAATACCAGAAATGGGTCTACACCAGCACTCCTCCACTCCTGACACAATCCTCTCCAGCTAATGCAGAATGTTTTTCCTGTTCACCAACAGTCTGTCAACAGGAAGCACCATTCTGAACGGTTTCAGGTATGAAAACCATCTCATAAATCTTTATACATCTTCCTATGATAAGCATCAATTATTAGACTGTTCAGTAAGTAAAGGATAGAGGAAAAGTTGATCAAATAAATTGTAATTCCCCCCTTCTTTCTTTTCTTTAGGTCAAAGAAGACTGAAAGTCAAAGAAGACAGTGTGAAAATCTACCCAAAATCAAGCATAAAAATGTTTCTTATCAATTCCTGTGGTCTATATTCTGTTCCGAAGTTAACTGACCTGTTGTCTAAAAGCACTGTGAAACTCCAGCTTCCCTAAGTCAGTAGCACGACTGCTGCTGCACATTCAGAAGAGCCAAGCGTTTTACTTAACCAATTTTTGTTTCTTTTCACCAGTTTGACAGCTTCCCTTTAAACCAGCTTAGAGCTCTCCAGCTGGATACCAAAAGACAAGGTTTTGGTAAAGGATGAAAGGCTGAATCATGGAGGTTGTGAGGAACAGCTACGCAGTTTTGAGAAATCACTGGCAACAAAAAACAAAATTTATGGCCAAGCTGCATCTAAGTTAAATTTCCTTTTGAGCTTAAATGTTTCGCAGCTACAGATGTAAGATTTCAAGCCTGCACACTTCAAAACACAGGTAAGTAAAATTTACTGGTATAGACATCAACCAAACTGAAGGGGAACCTGGTGAAGTGAAATTCATCCAGAAGTGGCCAGAACAGCAACAATTTTGTCAACATGTTCCAGGTTTTAAGGCCTCTCTAGCTAGCTGTGGCTCAGTCTGACCAGCATGAAGACAGTCATTTCTACAGACTATGCTGAACAGTCCTTCAGAGCAGCTGGAGGTGGCTGCCAGCAGAAACCCAGGCTTGACCCGAATGGTTGTAGCAAATTTTAGATATTTTTATTGAGATTTTTTTCCCCTTCATGATCTGTTTGACTTAGGTCTTTTCATTCCCTCCAGCCATCTCTTCCCCTGTCCTCAGCAAACCTTCCCAGCTCCCAAGTCTCATCTGTTGTGCAGGTATTAGTTACTGTGATGCTGAATTATAATCAATTTTACAGAAACCTGCTGGCAAAGGCCATTTTTCTTTCCAAAGACAAATGGATTTGTCAAAGCCTCAGAAATGACTCAGTTAGGCTTTCAAGCTGTTCCACGAGGGAAAAAACCTTAAACCTTTCAGCAGCTGATTAGCTTAAATGAATTAATAATCTTACAAACAAACAGCAGCTTTCCGCATCCGATATTTATGCACAAGGTGCATCTGGCTTCTTAGACATGAATAAAATCACAGTTGCTGCACAGCTAAATGAAATATTGATTTTTTTTTTTTTTGCAGAGCATTTCTCAAACTTGCAATTAAAGAAAAAAAACCCAGGTATTTACCGCTGCAGACTCCATCCTTCGTATAAAACCCCTGTCCACAGCTGGCCACACAGAGCCCTGCTTTTAGCATGCGTGATGTGTCTTTGCAGGACAAACAATTGTTCTCAGCAGCACCCCAGCATGAGGAACAAGACTCGTGACAAGCTGCAGGAGAAAAAGGTGCAGGATTAACAAATAATCAACTTCCAATTATCTCTTTAAAAGGAAGAGTTTGCAGCAATTCACTTTCTTTTTTTTTCCCAGTTTTGTTCCTTAGATTCACAGGCATTCACTGCTTCAGAAAAGGAAAAGAAAACATAACCCACTGCTGCTCTCATGTTAGTACCTTTCATCCAAGCCATCTCAGGGGTACAACCTACAGGTCATTTTGTAGGTGCAATATGACATGCAGTATACATCAGAGCAGTTTCTGTAGCTGTAATCAGACTAGGAGTAGTGTCAATAAGACTGTTAAATCCTGTTCATCCTGGTGCTAGGGGCTGTACAAGCACAAAGGGAAACGAGAAGAGATCCCATTACACATTACTTAAAAAACAGACCTGTGATCAGATCCTTGCAGTGACTACTGACATTAACCCAGCTTCACGTACAAAGAATTAGACCGCAAGGCTGCGATCAAAATCCTGCAAAGTTAAACCCAAGACAGCCTACTTGTAGAAACAACTCCTTCTGCACTTCCAGGACTCAGCACAGGTGCAGAAGGAACTGACTTCCGGCTGTTGGCAGATCAGGTGGGGCAGAAATCCTCACGTGCTCAGACTGAGTAATTCCTGGGGAAGGGTGGACAGTGGGTCCCAGGTCCTGCATATCTTTTCCTTGAAGTTGCCAGCAGAAGAGAAGGGGCATTCCCTCACTGGGTTGAGATACCAGCTACTTTTGTCTCTGGGGAGCCATCTATCATGGCTGGGACACAGTAATGTCCTTGAGCATGATGGTGTCTTGCAATTAAACTAATAAACTAATAACTGTATGGAGATTGAGTCTGCCTGTTGAACAAGCCACCTCATTCAGAACTGTACAAGTGCAGCTGTGAGGGAAATTCAGCCCACTGTCGTTACTGTACATGGAATCTGTGGTGTAGAATCACAATCAATCCTGTGTTACCGGTGCATGCAGGAACTGTGCAAATTACAGTTCTTTTAGCTATTAGATTTTTTTTTCTTGATTACACCCAAGTATGTTCCAAAGATGTTCTTAAACTCATTATTTCACAATAAGGCAGGTACGTGCTTGTGGTCCCAGACCATGGCAGGTGGGAGAAAACACAGAGATGTGGCATGACATGCACGAGGTTAGAACAGCGAGTGTTTAGGGGGCCAAGACTTGGGACATTTGAGTTCATCCCCAGCACATGGCCCTTTGACATTCTGGATGTTCCTTCTTCACACTTCTACCTTTGTTTATTTTCCCTTTCCTCATCATCTTCTATTGCCTTGTAAGTAGCTGTTTGCTTTCCCTCTTCTCACCTTTCTGCATCTGTTCCCTCCACACCTTATTCCTGGTCTCTCCAGAATGCTGTGGCTCTTCTAATTCCTGAGGAGTGTCCCATAAGGATGCTGGGCATCCGGTACCTGAAAGGATCTTCCACCTGACTCTTACAGCAGGGTCTGTCACCACTGTCAAGCGCACCTAATTGTGACTGAATCACACCAGAATGAATAGCAAACATCCCATCCCGAGGTAAAGATTGCACACACTTTTCTGCTCCAGTCGATAATTTCCCTTGCTGGTAAAAACCTGCATCTCATTCCAGCTTGGATGATTCTCAGGGCACATCTACACTCGAAAGTTAACTGCAGAGTATGAGTTCATGCTGTAAATCCTTAAGTACTCAGCTGTCCTCACTTCACCTTCCAGATGTGGGAGTTTTGCTCCTCTCTGAGCTGATGCTAACTTTCAACATCTTTTTAAAAGAGTAAGCATCAAGACTTGGATCCTCTAACTACAGACTTCCCACTGCACAGCTTGATCCCCTCACTGTTAATCTGCATCAATATGTTGACTCATCTGGACATACCCATTTATTTGCAAAGTTCTCAAGTCCTCTCTGGAGATGCTGCATCTTTCAAGAGACACTCTTGTCTCCGGGCAGCCTAGCCTCCAGCTCTGGAGCCACCAAGATCAGAAGGATATAGACTGGTTGGAGAGAGTCCAGAGGAGGCCATGAAGATGCTCCAAGGGCTGGAGCCCCTCTGCTATGGGGACAGGCTGAGAGAGTTGGGCTTGTTCAGCCTGGAGAAGAGAAGGCTCCAGGGAGATCTTACAGCACCTTCCAGTGCCTGAAGGGGCTACAAGGAAGCTGGGGGGGACTTTTTACAAGGGCCTGTA